AATGGTGGTGCACGCCTTTAATCCCAGCACTCGGGAGGCAGAAGCAGGCAGATCTCTGTGAATTCGAGACCAGCCTGGTCTACAGAGCTAATTCCAGGACAGCCTCCAAAGCCACAGAGAAACCCTGTCTCAAAAAAAAACAAAAAAAGAAAGAAATAATCATATTAAATAAAATATACCAGGCTATGACAAATGCAACATTTGATTTCATTTTTTATTGATTTTTATTGAGCTCTACATTTTTCTCCCTAACTCTCCCCTCCCCGCTTCAAACTTCCCCCAAGGTCTCCATGCTCCCAATTTACTCAGTATCTTCTCTTTTTCTACTTCCCATGTAGATTAGATCTATGCAAGTCTCTCTTAGTGTTCTCATTGTTGTCTATGTTCTCTGTGACTATGGTTTGTAGGCTGGCTTTCTTTGCTTTATGTTTAAAAACCATCTATGAGTAAGTACATGTGATAAATTGTCTTTCTGTGTCTGGGTTACCTCACTCAAAATAATGTTTTCTAGCTGTTGTTATATTTTTCTGCAAAATTCAAGCTGTCGTTATTTTTTTTTCTGCTGTGCAGTACTCCATTGTGTAAATGTACCACATTTTCCTTATTCATTTTTCAGTCGAGGGGCATTTAGGTTGTTTCCAGGTTCTGGCTATGACATACTAAGCTGCGATGAACATATTTGAGCACATGTTCTTGTGGCACCATTGTGTATCCTTTGAATATATGCCCAAAAGTGCTATAACTGGGTCTTGAGGAAGGTCGTTTCCTAGTTTTCTGAGAAATTGCCACCCTGACATCCAAAGGGGATGTACTAGTTTGTATTCCTACCAGCAATGCAGAAGTGTTCTCTTTTCCCCACAATCCCTCCAGCATAAGTTGTCATCAGAGTTTTGGATCTTGGCCATTCTTACAGGTTTAAGATGGAATCTCAGAGTTGTTTTGATTTGCATTTCTCTGATGACTAAGGCTATTGAACATTTTTCCCCAAGTGTCTTTCAGGCATTCCACTGTTGAAGGCTCTCTGTTTAGATCTGTACTCTATTTTTTATTGAATTATTTGTTCTTTTAATGATTAATTTCTTGATTTCTTTGTATAATTTGGAGATTATACCTCCGTCTGATGTGGAGTTGTTGAAAATGTTTTTCCATTCTGCAGGTTGTCATTTTGTCTTGTTGATAGTGTCCTTTGCTTTGCAAAAGCTTTTCAGTTTCAGGATGTCCCATTTACTAATTGTTTCTCTCAGTGTCTGTGCTGCTTGGGTTATATCTAGGAAGTGGTCTTCTGTGCCAATGCATTCAAGTGTACGTCCTACTTTCTCTTATCTAAGGTTCAATGTGGCTGGCTTTATGTTGAGGTCTTTGATCCATTTGGACTTGAGTTTTGTGCATGGTGATAGATATGGGTCTATTTTCATTCTTCTAAAGGTTGGTATCCAGTTATGCCAGCACCATTTATTATATATGCTTTCTTTTTTTCCACTTGATATTTTTTGCTTCTTTGTCAAAAATTTGGTGTTTGAATTAATATCTAGGGCTTCTATTAGGGTACATTAGTCCTCCTGTCTGTTTTTATGCCAATACCAGGCTGTTTTAAGTACTGTAGCTCTGTAGTAGAGTTTGAAGTCAGGGATTGTGATGCATCCAGAAGTATTTTATTGTACAGGATTGTTTTTGCTATCCTGGGTTTTTTTTTTTCATTTTCTATATGAAGTTGAGTACTGTTCTTTTGAGGTCTGTGAAGAATTTTGCTGGGATTTTGATGGGCTTTGTGTTCAATCTGCAGATTGCTTTTGTTAAGATTGCCATTTTTACTATGTTAATTCCGACTATCCAAGAGCATGGGAGATCTTTCCACTTTCTTGTGTCTTCTTCAATTTCTTTCTTCAAAGTTATAATGTTCTTGTCATACAAGTCTTCCACTTCCTTGGTTAGAGATACTCTGAGATATTTTATGCTATTTGTGGCTATTATGAAGGGTGATGTTTCTCTGATTTCTTCCCCAGCCTTTTAATCGTCTGTGTACAGGAGAGCTACTGATTTTTTTGAGTTAATCTTGTATCCTGCTACATTACTGAAAGTGTTTATGTGCTGTAGAAGTTCTTTGATAGAATTTTTGGGATCGCTTTTGTAAACTATGATATCAGCAAATAGTGAGAGTTTCACTTCTTCTTTTCCAATTTGTATCCTCTTGTTCTCCTTATGTTGTCTTATTGCTGTAGCTAGAACCTCAAAACTATATTGAATGGATACGGAGACAGTGGACAACCTTGTCTTGTTCCTGATTTCAGTGGGATCGCTGGCAGTTTCTCTCCATTTAGTTCGTGTATATTGCCCTTATTGTGTTTAGGTATGTTCCTTATATTCCTGCTCTCTCCAAGACCTTTATCATGAAGGGATGTTGTATTTTGTAGAAAACTTTTTTGGCATCTAATGAGGTGATCATGTGGTTTTTGTTTTTCATTTTGTTTATATGGTGGATTACATTGAAAGATTTTTGTATGTTGAACCATCCCTGTATCTCTGGGATGAAGCCGACTTGATCATGGTGGATGATGGTTCTGATGTTTTCTTGAATTCAATATGCCAGTGTTTTATTTAGTATTTTTGCATCAATGTTCATGAGTGATATTTGTCTGCAAATTCTCCTTCTTAGTAATATCTTTTTGTGGTTTGGTTATCAGGGTAATTGTAGCATCATAAAAAGAGTTTGGAATTGTTCCTTTTGTTTCTATTGGGTAGAATAATTTGACAAGTATTATTATTAATTCTTCTTTGAAAGTCTTGTAGAATTTTGAGCTGAAACCATCTGGTCTTTGGCTTTTTTGGTTGTGAGAATTTTGATGACTGTTTCTATTTTTTCAGCAGTTAAATGTCTGCTTAATTTGCATATCTGGTCTTTATTTAATTTTGGGAAATGAGATTTATCCAGAAAGTTGTCGTTTTCCTTTATGTTTTCCAATTTTGTGGAGTACAGGTTTTGGAAATATGACCTGATGATTCTCTGTATTTCCTCCATGTCTGTTGTTATGTCCCCCTTTCCATTTCTGATTTTGTTAATTTAGATATTCTTCTCTGCCTTTTGGTTAGTTTGGATAAAGTTTCATTTATTTTGTTGATTTTCTTGAAGAACCAACTCTTTGTCTCATTGATTTTTTATATTGTTTTCTTTGTTTCTATTTTGTTGATTTCAGCTCTCAATTTGATTATTTCCTGCTGTCTAGTTCTCTTAGATGAGTTTGCTTCTTTTTGTTCTAAAGTTTTTAAATGTTCTGTTAATTCACTAGTGTGGGATTTTTCCAGCTTCTTTATGTAGGTATTTAGGGCTATGAACTTTCCTCTTAACACTGCTTTCATTGTGTCCCATAAATTTGGATATGTTTTGTGGTCATTTTCATTGAATTTTAGGAAGTCTTTAATTTCTCTCTTTGTTTCTTCCTTGAGCCACTGATGAGTTAGGTGAGCATTGTTTAATTTCCATGTGTTTGTGGGTTTTCTAGAACTAGTATTGTTTTTGACTTCTAGTTTTAAACCATATGATATGATTAGTTACATTGGGTTATTCCATTTTTTTGTATTTGTTGAGGTTTTTTTTGTTACTGAGTATTTGGTCAATATTTGGGAAGATTCCATGAGGTGCTGAGTAAGGCATATATTTGTATGTTTGGATGGAATATTCTATAGATGTCTGTTAATTCATTTGAATCATAACATCTGTTAGTTCTCTTATTTCTCTGTTCATTTTTTGTCTGACTGACCTGTCCAGTGGTGAGGAGGAAGTGTTGAAGTCTCCCACTATTAGTGTGGGAAGTTTAATGTATGATTTAAGCCTTAGAAGTGTTTCTTTTACAGGTGAGGGTGCCCTTGTATTTGGGGCATAGATGTTCAGTATTGAGATTTCCTCTGGATGGATTTTTCCTGTGATTAATATGAAATGACCTTCTTTGTCTCTTTTGACTGATTTTAATTTAGGTCTATTTGGTTAGATACTAGAATAACTACATCTGCTTGTTTCTTAGGTCCATTTGATTAGTATATTTTCCCCAACCCAACCCTTTACTCTGAGACAATGTCTGTCTTTGAGGTTGAGATGTGTTTCTTGAATGCAGAAGAAGGATGGATTCTATTTTTGTATCCAATCTGTTAGCCTTTGACTTTTTATAGGTGAGTTGAGTCCATTTACATTAAGGGATATTACTGACCAGTGATTGCTATCTCCTGTTAATTTATTTTCATTGTTGGTGATGTTAATTTATGTGTTTTCCCCTTCTTTGGGGTTTGCTGCTATGAGATCATCAATTGTCTGTGTTTTTGTTGGTATAGCCAGCTTCCTTGCGTTTGTGTTTTCTTCTAGTATTTTGTGTAGTGCTGGGTTGGTGTCTAGGTATTGGTGAAATTTAGTTTTGTCATGGAATATCTTGTTTTGTCCTTCTATGGTGATTGAAAGTTTTGCTTGGTATAGTAGTCTGGGCTGACATCTATGGTCTTTTTATGTCTGCATAATGCTTGACCACAACCTTCTGGCTTTCATTATCTCCAATGAAAAGTCAGGTGTAATTCTGATAGGTCTGCTATGTTACTTGCCTTTTTTCTTTGCAGCTCTTAATGTTCTCCCTTTACTCTGTATGTTTAGTGTTTTGATTATTGTGTGGCAAAAAGACGTTTTATTTGGATCCAGTTTATTTCATGTTCTGTAAGCTTCACAGGCATATCTTTCTTTAGTTTGAGAAAGTTTTCTTCTATGATTTTGTTAAATATATATTTTGTGCTTTTGAGTTGAACTCCTCCTTCTTTTATACCTATTATTCTTAGATTTGGCTTTTTCATGGTATCTCATATTTCCTGGATGTTTTGGGTTAAGCTTTTGTTGGATTTAATATTTGCTTTAACTGATGAGTCTATTTCCTGTATTTTACCTTCAGCACTTGAGAGTCTTCCATCTCTTGTACTCTGCTGTTCATGCTTGCAATTGTGGTTCCTGTTTGTTTTCTCATGATTTCTGTTTCTATAATTCCCTCGGTTGTGTTTGCTTTATTGTCTCTATTTCAGTTTTTAAACCTTGAATAGTGTCTTTCATTTGTTTGATTTCTTTTTTTTTTTAAACAAGGGGCATTTTATTAGAGTCCAGGTGTGTCAGCTTTGGCCAGCGACAGAGGGCAGCTTCACGTAGCTCTTCACTGGGGCCAGTGGCCGAATCTTTCGGCCAGCCCAGCCTCCCTTGCGTTGCCATAGCCCACTGTTAGGCCTCTTGCCCAGCCAGCGATTCCGTCCTGCCTTGCGGATGATCCGCTGGTTATGATTAACGTTGGAAACTCGGCCTACAGTTGCAGTGCATGTCTCCAGCACCTGCATTTGCCTCTTCGAGGGCAGCTGGATAATGGCTGTTCCATTCACCTTCCGAAGCAGCACACCACACGTCCCTGCAGCTCGGATATACTGTGCTCCTCGGCCAGGCTCACTTTCCACATTGTTGATGAGGGTCCCCACAGGCAATGCCCCAAGAGGATACGCATTGCCCTCCTGAGCTGCCACTGCCATTCTGCCTATGTGGTTAGAGTTCAGGATTGTATCTCCTGCCTTCATGTTTTCTGTGGCAATGATTCAGCATTTCCGGCTGCCCCCAGCTACCAGGGCTATGTCTGCAGACCTGCATGGATCGTAGCGGACGACGACAACCTTCTCCTCAAAGGGTTCTGGCTTGCTCTCCTTCTCTGGCTGGAACCGCAGGAAGTCAATCATTCTGTAATTTTGTTTGTGGCCCCCACCAATACCATGTACTCGGATGCGGCCTGTATGGTCTCGACCCCCAGACTTCCTCATCTTCACAGGTTTGACTGTGTACTTGGTACGACTTTTCCAGGACACAAACTTGGCATTAAGGTCCACAGATGTATGCACCGTACGCTGAGAGGGCAACGCCACGGCCGAGGGCTGCTGAAGGGCATTGCTCAGCATCTGGGCAGCCCGGAGCAGAGTTGGAGTCTGGGCAGTAATGACCAGGGATGCCAGGCTCAGAGAGTGCAGAGCACTAGTGAGCGCACACAGGGCCATGGGGAGTCCTCGGAGTCCATATGATTGATTTCTTTTTCTTGGTTTCCTTTAATGAACTTGCTGATGTCTTCTAATTTTTGTTTGTCTTTTCCTCCATTTCCTTAAGGGAATTTTTCATTTCCCCTTTAAGAGTTTCAAACATTCTCTTGAAGTTATTTTTTTAGTCATTTTCTTCTGCTTCATCTATATTTGGTTGTTCAGGTCTTGCTGTTTTAAGGTCTTTAGGTTTTACTGGTGTTGTGTTGCTCATTGTGGTATTGCATGTGTTCTTACTTTTTCTACTCATCTTTTCCTCTAATAGATATGGTTGGGGTTGTCTGAGATTTTGTTGAATAATCTTCTAGGTGCCAAAGAATCCAAAGCTCAGATGATTGTGCCCTTGTGGTACAGTCAGTGCAACAGTTCTAGTTACCCTGTTGGTTACTTTGTGTTCCAGGAGGTAGCTCAGTGCTCCTGTGCTTTGTTTCGTTTACTTTGAGTTTGCTGTCTCAGGCCTACTTTGTCTAGGTTACTAGCTTTGAACTGTTTCTGTAAATCCAGGTCTGGATTCCCTCCTGTAGAAGTCCCTGGCTTGGAGTTGGTTCTTCAAAGGTTTTTGGCTCTGGTCTACTGTCTCAGAGATCCCAAGCTTGGGTGTGCCCAGAACCAGAGAGGACTTGGCTCAGGATTACTCCCTCAGAAGTCCCAGACTCACATTCAGACCCGCAGAGGTTTCAGGTTCCTGCCTATTCCCTTTGATGTCCCAGACCAATTCCCAGACCCACAGAAGTCCTGGCTCAGGCCTACTCCTTCTGAGGTCCCAGACTTACGCCTGGTCCCTCAGAGATCTCTGGTTCCTGCCTACTCCCTCAGAGGTCACAGATTCATGCCCAGACTGGCAGGTTCCTGGCTCAGGCCTAGTTCCTGGGAGGCCCTAGACTCAAGCTCTGACCCACAGGTGTCCTGGCTTAGGTCTACTCCCTTGAAGGTCCCAGATTCATGTCTGGACTCTCAGTAGTCTCTGGCTCTGGCTCACTTACTCGGCAGTTACTCCCCTGTACCTGTTTCAGCGGAGATCGCTGACTCTGGATCTGGTTGCTGGCTTAATCCTGATCTGCCAGTGTCCGGGGACTGGATTGGCGTCTGGCTTCTGCTCTAGTGGAGCTTTCCTCCTTAGTCCCACTCTGTCCTAGGTAGCTGGTTCAGTTCCACTTCTGTTCAATTTGTTGCTCAAGGTGGAGTTCCATGCCTCAGGTTGACTTTGGCCTAGGTTACAGGCCTTGACCTGCTTCTGCAAATCCTGGTCTGGATTCCTTTCCTGCAGAACTCCCTGGCTTGGAGTTGGTTCTACAAAGGTTTTTGGTTCTGGTCTAGTGCCTCAGAGTTCCCAAGCTCAGAGTTCTAGGTACGCCCAGAACCACAGAGAACCTGGCTCAGGCTTACTCCCTCAGAGGTCCCAGACTCACACTCCAGACCCTCAGAGGTTCCAGGTTCCTGCCTATTCCCTTTGATGTCCCAGACAAATACCAGGATCCACAGAGCTCAGGCCTACTCCTTCTGAGGTCCCAGACTCACGTCTGGACCTGCAGAAATCTCTGGTTCCTGTCAACTCCCTTAGAGGTCCCAGATTCATGCTCAGACTGGCAGAGGTCCTGGCTTAGGTCTACTCCCTTGAAGCTCCCAGATTCACGTCTGGACCCTCAGTAGTCTCTGGCCCTTCCTTGCTCACTTGCTCAGCTACTGCACCCCTGTACCTGTTCCAGTGGAGATTTCTGATACTGGAACAGGTAATTGGTCCCAACATTTGATTCTTTTCATGGCATTTTCATGTTACATAGATGATGAGATCATTTATATGTAAGTATATAGCTTATATGATGTTAAAACAGAAGCAGACTGTGTGAATGACCTAGAGAGATGACTCAGGGGTTAAGAGTACTTGGTCTTACAGAAGACCTGCCGTTGGCTACTAGTAACCACATGGCAGCATACATTTATCTGTAATGACAGTTTTAGTGGACCATGTGCCTTCTGGCCTCCACAACCACCAGGCATGCATGCTGTGCACAAACATTCATGCTGGCAAACCATGGGTGCACATAACTAGCAATAATAAACTTAGAAAAACTGTGTTGAGAATGAAAGGGACAAAGAGATGGGAGGTGCGAAGGAATGTTATAGAGTATAAACATATTAGGCAGAGCCCCACCATTTTGTAAAGCTATTCTATTAACTTGTTTCTTCTATATTTTTGCTCTTAATCACAACCATGGCACATGTCTCCGAGAGACAGACTCCCTGCAACCATTAGACAGTCTGACTGCATGCATTCATTATGGACTGCCAATCAGTCACTGGCATAGAACCTACTTCTTTCTCTAAAGTGTATGAGAAGGGATATTCTTTTTGTCTTGTTTGCCTGATACTGGCTTAGCATCTTTGCTGTATTGCTGTCTGCTTGTCTGTATATGACATTAGTAACTTTTCTAATAAATATATAAAAAACAGAGCCCCTTGAACTCCTGATATGAAACCTTTTGAATATAGGCAAACTATGTGATATACTTGAATTAAAATATTTTTATGAAATTTATTACCATCTATAATGTATATGTGTGAATTTTAAGAAATTATTAAGAGGCCATAGCAGGATTTACAGCCCCCAACCACAGTGACTCAGAATCTCTCATTTTTGGGCTTGATGGGATTCTTCTGTCATTGGATCCCTAACTTTGCCATTATTGTCAAGCCTCTGTACCAGGCAGCCAGATAGACCCTCAAGGGGCCTGTCACTCTCATGGCCATCATCTCCCTTAACTTCTCTCTGATACAAGATGCCCTTGTAACAGTTCCTGCCCTTGTGCTTCCATACCCGACAAGATCTTACCACCTTTATACAGATGAACAGTTAGGAGTGGTCACTGGAGTTCTAACACAACTGGTTGGGCCTTTGAATCAGGCTGTCACCTTTTTGCCCAAACAGCTGGACCTAACCATCTGTGAATGGCAGACATGCTTGAGAGCTCCAGCAGCAGCAACTGAACTCACACAGGAGGCTCTCAAGATCACCCTGTCCAGGCCAGTCATGGTATATTCCACCCACTGCCTCTCAGACCTTCTAAGTCATTCTCTCTCCTTCCTTGGGCCTTCATAAGTCCAAGTCATTTACTCACTGTTTCTAGAAAACCCCAAATTACCTTGGCCTCTAGTCCTGCCCTAAACCCTGCAGACCTCCTTCCTGTTCCCTCCCCACTCTGATACTTCCTCTAATTCTTGCCCAGAGGCCTGTGCTCACCTTGGCCCAGTCTTTTAGATCAACCACTTAGAAATCCTCAATTCACCCTGTTTGCTAATGTAAGTTCCCTTAGAGACAAATGAGGAAACCGCCAGGCAGCATATGCAGTGGTCACTCCCAATAAAACAGTTAAAGCGACCTGCCTGCCAATGGGAACCTCTTCACAAAAGGCCAATTAATTGACTTGACTAGAGCACTCCAGATAGCCAATATCTATACTGACTCCAAATACGCCTTCTTAATAGCCCATACCTATTCTGTAGCTTGGAAAGAAAGGGGCTTCCTTACTACCAAGAATACTCTCATAGTTATTGGACCCCTTATAGCCAATCTCTTGGAAGCCCTCCAGCTCCCTGCAGAAGTAGTCATAATTCACTGTTGGGGACACCAATTCTCCAAGGATCCAGTGGCATTAGGCAATGCCAAAGCTGACTCAGTGGTCCCAGCACCTGGCCTACAGCCCCTCTGATTTAACAGAACACATTTTTTTGGACTCCCTCCTATCATCCCTGTTATCAACCAGAAGAGAGAGATGAACTCATTAAAGAGGGGGCCAAAAAAAAACAAAAGATGGATGGTTCTGCTTAAATAACTGTGATGGAGGAAGGTCATTGGCTAATAAAGGAACTGCCCTGGCCCATTTTATTGGTTAGAAGATAGGTGGGAGGAGAAAACAGAACAGAACGCTGGGAGGAAGAGGAAGTGAGCGCAGAGACTCCACAGCTCTCTCGGGAGCAGAAGCCTCAGAGAGAGACGCCATGCCCCGCTCCCGGGATGAAGCTCTGACCCAGGATGGACATAGGTTAGAATCTTCCCGGTAAGTGCACCTTGGGGTGCTACACACAGATGATTAGAAATGGGTTAAATTAATATGTGAGAATTAGCCTAGAAGAGAATGGGCCAAGCAGTGCTTAAAAGAATACAGTGTCTGTGTAATTATTTTGGGGCATAAGCTAGCCGAGCAGGCGGCCGGGGTGCTGGGAACGCAGCCCTGCTGCTCTTAATACTTCATAACTGTCTCATCTTTCCTGAAGACCAGACATTGTTGATCATTTCAGACATCCACCAGACCTTATGCATAGTCCCCAAAGTTATATTCCATTTCTTAAAGTCCCTCTTTGACCTCAACCATCTTCGAGCTCATATTTCAGAGGTTTACTCCTGAAAGGTGTGTGCCAAGGCCAATCCACAGGGGTTGTCCATATATGTCAGTCTCTGCATCAGCTTCATGGGCATCAACCATGTAAAAAATGTGGGCTGATTTCACTCATATGCTTCGTCATAAAAAAACTCTATTATCTCCTAACACTTGTGAACACTTTTACAGGATGGATAGAAACGTTTCTGGCCTCCATGGAAACAGCAGATGTGGTGGCTCAGGTACTACTAGACTACATCATTCCTTGGTTTGGCATTCTACAGACCATCCAAATGAACAATGGGCCAGCCTTCACATCCAGGGTCATGGAGCTCACATCAGAAGCTCCCAACATCTCCTGGAAGTTCCACATCCCTTACCACCCACAATCCTTGGGAAAGGTGTAGAGGGCCAGTGGACTCACCAAACAACAATAATCAAGCTTTCCATTGAATTCAGGTTATCTGAGCCCTCCCTTCTCCCCATTGCCCTTATCTTTCTCTTGGTCACCCCATGTTCTCCTATGGGTCTAAGCCCTTTCAAGTTCCTTTATGGCACTCCCTTCCTCCTTAGTTACCACCTACCAGC